CTGGTAAAATAAACAAATAAGCAGGTGGCTAGGTGAGTGATTGAATGAGAGTGTGGCTGAGTGAGTGATTGAGTCAGTGGTTGAGGGAGTGAGTGGCTGAGTTAGTGAGTAGTTGAATGAGTGAGTGGTTGAGTGAGTGGGTAGCAGAGTGACTAAGCAGCTGAGTGAGTGGTTGAGTGAGTGAGTGGCTGAGTGGGTGGCTGAGTGAGTGACTGAATGGCTGAGTGAGTGGCTGAGTGAGTGGTTGAGTGAGTGAGTGGTTGAATGAGTGGCTGAGTGAGTGGCTGAGTGGTGGCTGAGTGGGTGGCTGAGTGGGTGGCTGAGTGGGTGGCTGAGTGGGTGGCTGAGTGGGTGGCTGAGTGAGTGACTGGCTGAGTGAGTAAGTGGCTGAGTGAGTGAATGGCTGAGTAAGTGGCTGAGTGAGTGGTTGAGTGAGTGAGTGGCTGAGTGGGTGGCTGAGTGAGTGACTGGCTGAGTGAGTAAGTGGCTGAGTGAGTGAATAGCTGAGTTAGTGGATGAGTGGCTGTGTGAGTGAGTGGTTGAGTGAGTGAGTGAGAGGTTGAGTGAGCGGCTAAATGAGTCAGTGGCTGAGTGACTGAGTGGTTGAGTGAGTGGCTGATTGAGTCAGTTGGCTGAGTGATTGAGTGGCTGAGTGGGTGGCTGAGTGGGTGAGACACGGGGAGAGAGAAGGAGACACGGGGAGAGAGGGGAGGGAGACACGGGGAGAGAGGGGAGGGAGACACAGGGAGAGAGAGGAGGGAGACACAGGGAGAGAGAGGAGGGAGACAGGGAGAGAGAGAGAGAGGGGGAGACACGGGGAGGAGGTGAGAGGCAGGAGGAGAGTCTGTGGAGGAGGAGAGTGCGTGGAGGTGAGAGTGGAGAGATAGGAGGAGAGTGCGTGGAGGAGGCGAGGGCTCCTATAATGATGACTTCAAGGCATGCTGGGAGACAAGTTCATGTGACCCACATAGCACAGGGGCGACAGTGCCGGCTGGAGCCATCGCTGTTGGAACCGCATGGGCAGGGGACACAGAACGTGGCCTCCAACCCACCACCTGCACCAGCATCACCACCACAACCAACAACCACAACTAGAACCACAAATTCAATCACAAATGTAACCACAGTCACAACCATAACCACAAATAAAACCACAACCATAACCACAACTATAACCACAACTGTAACTAAAACCAACAACTACAATTATAACCACACCCACAACTATAACCACAATTATAACCATATCTACAACCACAACTCTCCGCACTAAAACTATGGACACAACTATAACCACAACCATAATATAACCACAACTATAACCACATCTCCGGTTAGCACAGTTGGCTAGGGGAAGCCCTGGACTGGTTCAGATGATCGTCACTGGTGTTGGCCGTGAGCGGGAATCGAACTTCCTCGGGTCCGTGGCGTGGCGTGCGAACCGCTACTCTACCGCTCCCTACATATACAACAACCATGAAAGCCAACATAACCATCTTCACCACAACTATAACCACAAAAACATAACATAACCATCACAACTTTGACCACAATCACAAATATAACCACAAACCCAAGTATAACAACAAGAACATAACCACCACAGCTATAACTACAACCATCACAACCTCAACTATAACCACAGCAACCATAACATAACCACCGCAACCTCCACGTACACAACTATAGCAACAAAAAATATAATCCCCACAACCGCAATTATAATCACAACCAAAAGCACAACAACAACCAACATTACCACCTACACCACAACTAAAACCTCCACTACAACCACCGATACAACCACAACTATAACCGCAGCCACCACAACCAAAACCACAACCAAAACCACCACAACCATAACAAGCAACATAACCACAACAACCACATTGATGCTGCTACTCAAACACCACCTACACAACCACTGTATCAAGGCTCTATGTCCCCGTGTGTCCATGTGTCTCCGTGTGTCTCCACGTGTCCCTGTGGGTGGGTGAATAGATGGGTTAGTGGGTGAGTTGGTGAGTGGGCAAGCGAGTGGGTGGGTGGGTGTGCGGGCGATGGAATCGAACCTGCACCTCTGGAGTGCAAATACAGTGAACTAACCACCCGCAATGTGGTGGGGTAAAGTGTGGGTACGCCCACCTTGCTCCAACACGTGCAGATCAGCGTGGAAGAGTAGACCAAATACCATAATTAGCGGCGTCTAGGGGAGGCCTCCTCCGCCAGCAGGCGATTCGCCTCCTTCACAATAAACCCTTCCTTGCAAAGATAAAACAAAGTCTCTTTGACTCATCCCATCAGCCTCTCATCAGCAGCAATGGCTCAACTCGAGCGCCACTCTGGGCCGGTTTCCACCTTCAGTGCCTCAGCAGCAGCAGCAGCAGCAGAGCCGGGCTCTGCTTGAACCGATGCCGTGAGCCCAGCAGCTGTGTAGAAGCCCGCGGCTGTGGGCCGCCTTTGTCTCTCCCCCGCCACTGCTGAGGTGTCCACGCCACGCGAGGTTCTCACCTTCAGGCTGAGTCGACCTCGAGGAGGCCCAGACAGCGAACCGCTTCAGAAGTTGGCGCCACTCGCCCCGGCGGAAGCGGAAGCAGCAGCGGGGGAGGGGGTATGGGGGGGGAGGGGGTATGGGGGGGGGAGGGGGTATGGGGGGGAGGGGGTATGGGGGGGGGGAGGGGGTATGGGGGGGGGGAGGGGGTATGGGGGGGAGGGGGTATGGGGGGGGGAGGGAGTATGGGGGGGGGGAGGGGGTATGGGGGGGGAGGGGGTATGGGGGGGGGAGGGGGTATGGGGGGAGGTGGGGTATGGGGGGGGAGGGGGTATGGGGGGGGAGGGGTATGGGGGGGGAGGGGGTATGGGGGGGGGGAGGGGGGGTATGGGGGGGGGTATGGGGGGGGGCGGGGGGTATGGGGGGGGAGGAGTTGAAAGGCGGGTGACGTCACGAAGCGCGTGGTCCCCTGGCCCCGCCCCCCCACTTGCCTCTGGCAGTTGGTCGAAAGGCGCGGGAGAGGCAGCAGCAGAAGCAGCATCATCATCGCGTGTGGAGATCAGCCGAGAGGAGTGGATCCGAGCTGTGTATTAGTGGTGGTGTGGTAGTGGTGTTAGTGGTGGTGGGCGTGTTAGTGGTGGTGGGGGTGTTAGTGGTGGTGGGGTTGTTATTGGTGGTGGGGTTGTTATTGGTGGTGGCGTTGTTAGTGGTGGTGGTTAATGGTGGGATTGTTGTTAGTGGTGGTGTTAGTGGTGGTCTGTTAAGGCTATTACGGGGGAGCTTTTGTCTTTGGTGGTGTTCGTGGGGGGAGGGGGGCGTCGGGGTGGGGAAGGTACTGGGGGGGAGGGGCTTACGGGCTGTTGCGTCACGAGGGCGTGCTCACCGGGCCCCGCCCCCACTTTCTGGCGATTTCTTTTGTCACAGGCGGCGACTCTGGAGCAAGTGTCTCTCATGAAATTGTCTTTTCCGAGACCAAGGTTCTCTGCAAACCTCCCGGCTACCATCAAATGTTGTACACGAAGCCATACAAATATACAAACACAGACATAATTTCAACCGTGATGATGGGTACAAACTTAGTAATCATTGGAAAGATGTTATCAACCACGCAAAAAAGACTTAATTACACTTTTTTGGACCATCTTATCTGACAGGCACTATTTTACTTTACTTTACCGAGTGTTAACATCCCCAGTATTTAACAGTACTCTCTTCATTGTTCAGCCAGCATTGGTATAAACATGGGCATTTTCGTTCTTTTTCGATCATGTGTATCAGGCCTCCCCTCCCCCTCTCTGTCCTATGCGTTGGCGTTGTGCAACAGCGCCCACGCCGGCGTCCATTCTTTTGGCCCCGCTCACCTCCCCCTCCCGATGCGTTGTACGTGGCACTCCGTGCCGTCTTTGAGCCCCGACCCCCTCCCTCCCGATACGTTCCATTCATTGGCTACCACATTCTGAT